ATTTATGGTTTTACAAAAGGAGGAAAAATATGAAGATAATGAGAACCTCAATAGTTTAAATGAGAATAAACTAGATAAGATGGAATTGGACTGAGGAGCAGCTTATGTAAAAGTGAATGCATGTATTTGTATATTTATACAGTATAATAAATTTGTCACAATATCTGGTAACCCACTCACATTTATAGCTGCTTGCAATGTCCTATGGTCAGGCAACCTGGCTTGCAACTTTTTTGCCAGTTTCCTGTGTTTTTTGCCATTTTGGCAAAAAAAACACCCATTCAGGAGAATGAGTTTGCACTTATGATTACATTATTCACTTATGACTGCTGTAAAAATGATCATAAAATTGAGTCCGATTGTGTGGATGCCTTGACTTACAGCAATCACAACTTACCACCAAAATTCTGGTTCCAATTGTGGTTATAAGTCATGATTTCTATGTGAACTGTAGTGCAGGAATGGGTAGGATGAAAAATGTATTAAAAGATGGGATGGTTGCAGCTTTAACTGGAATGTGAACAAAGAATATCATTGCTTAATATAGGTAATTGTTACTTACAACCATTAGTTTAATGACAGTTCAAAGTTACGATGGCCTCGAAAAATTGATTTACAAGCTATCTTCGCACTTACAACTGTTGCACTACCCATAGTCATAGGACTGCAATTTAGGCACTTGGGAACCACTTCACATTTACAATCAGTTGCAGCATCCTGCAGTCACATAGTTACAATTTTCAGTCTTCCCAGCTGATTTCCGATGGAAAATGTCAATTGGGGAACTGGCTTGCTTAATGACCACTTTGCTTGTTCATTTGTTTATATCCTGCCTTTAAATAATTCAAGGTGACAAACATATCCATTACACCTTCCTCTTCTTATTTTCCCCACATCAACAACCTATTAGGGGAGTTAAGTTGAGAGAGAGTGACTGCCCCAGATTCATCCAGCTGGCAACAAATAGGGTAAACATGTTTGTAAAATTGGATTCAGTCATGTGATGACTTGCTTTATGACTGCAGTGACTTAACGATAAAAATCCCGGCCCCAATTGTGGTAGTAAGTTGAGTACTACCTGTACATGGTAATCATCAAATACTCATCATGTAGTTGCAAAACCCACAAGGCTACTGTGTATTCAGTCTACTGAGTTTTTCTCCTCTTCTATTGATATGACATGTTTAAAGGTAAGTGTACCTCCTTTCCATGGGTTATCTGTCTGTGATTGTAACTTGTCTCTCTCTTGACCTTCCATTTTAAGCATCAACATCTTGTTGACTTCCATATATTGAACCATTGAACAACATCTTATCTGCTGTTAGGAAAAGGAACATGTTTTTTTATTTAATCAATCATATTAATACAAAACTTCAAAGAATTGCTTTGGGATTTCAAATTGCCCACATCAACTAATGTGTAATCTGCCTATGTCCATTTAGTTAGGCATAGTAAAGATCCACATTTATTAAACCTACATTTGGTCTTTTTAAAGCAGCTAATTAGATATAATAAGGGGGTGCAATGGGCCAGTGGTTAAATCTGGGCTTGTCGATGGGAAGGTTGGTAATTCAAGATGCAAATACCACATGATGAGGTAAGTTCCTGTTTGTGCCCCAGTTCCTGCCAACCTAGCAGTTTTAAAGCATGCCAATGCAGGTAAATAGGTACCACTTCAGTGGCAATGTTACAACGTTTCATGTACCTTTGGCATATAGTCATGCTGGCTACATGATCACGGAAAAATCTTCAGACAATACTGGCTCCCTCGGCTAAGAAACGGAGATGAGCATTGCTCCCTAGAGTCAGACACGACTGGGCAAAGACCTACATTAGTTATAATACAGATTTAGTAAATGTGAATAGCGTGTGATCACAATAAATTATTCAAAAACCTAGGGGTTGTTCTTCTGGATTAGAATGCTTGTCTAGTCCAATTTCCAAATGTGTATAGATAAAAAGAATGCTTACCAAAACAATGATCAGATAAAGGAGTCGGAGTCTGGGCCAAGAAAGTAATTTGAGAAAATGTCTCAGACAAGCCCCTTGCTGTTTCACATTGGCATAAAGTGATGAAGAGAGAAGCACATTCAGACCTGCAAGATTCTTTCTCTATCCCTGTTACAATAAAGGCATTGGTTTCTTAGTCTGGACTACCCTAGGGGTGGCAGTTGAGGATAAGTGTTTAATTGAGTGCATGTTCTGTCATTTACTTGGTGCATAATAGCAGTAAGTTTCAGAAACACAGCTGTAACACTCTTCAAACTTTTCTGAAAGTAAGCACAAGAGGATTAGCTTTTATTAAATGTAAATAGAATAGTTTGTCCATTAAGACTTTTATGAGGGAGGCAATGATTTTCAGGGCATTTCCATTTTTCTTAAAAATGAAAATAGATAAATATTTGAAATGTTTAAAAATGTTAAAATGTTACAACATTTTAAATTTGAAGCATTACCAGCCCTCAGTTACGAAATTGTGCATCTTGTTTCTTTTATTTCTGATAATTATTCTGTAAAATTTTTATAACAATTTCAATATAATAATTTTGTATTCTCTTAACTGCTACATATGCAGATAAGAAGTAGAAGTTAGACTTTCCTGTACAATAAACTGCCTCATTTCACATCAAGTTGATGGTATTTAGAAGTATTGTTGCTTGAAATTGAGTCTTTGAGTTGTCTTTATCATAATACTATCTGTGCAGATTATCTTATCTCCCTGGATATTGCAAAAATATATTAGAAATGTTTTAGGTACTATAGATGAACAAAAAAAAACATATCTTGTATGCTTAAAATAGAAGATGATTTCATTTTAGTAATAAAATTCCACAAGTATTTTTCTTATATTCTGAATTCAGTTTACTGAGGTTTTATTGATAAGATATATAAATATGTATTTATATTTCCTTCTGCAACCAATTTAAAAACAGCAATTAAATAATGAGCTGCTAAAGTAGCTTTTAAAAGCTAGATTTAGAAAAGCGGATTAATAACTTTTGTAAAATCTGCAAAACATTGGTAATTGTAACACACATACACACACACACGTTTTCTGAGGTTTTTGCGGGTGTTTGTAGGTCTTTGGTTATTCGAGTTTTTTCCTGCGTAAAATTGGAAGTGTCTTGGCACTTGTGTGTGTGTGTGTGTGTGTGTATACACACATATATATATATACATACACATACACACACACACACACACACACAGAGAGAGAGAGAGAGAGAGAGATTCTTTTGCAAAAGCCTCCTAGAGTTTCTTCAAACACTTATCGTGTTTCCACGAAAACAAGAACTGGTCTTATATTTTTTTTGCCTCCAAAAGAGGCATTAGGTTTTATTTTTGGGGGAACCCTCTTACCTCAGGACTATTGCAGCCATGCCTCCCACGCCCTGACACCTGTTGTGCCGCTGCCCGACTTCTTCTGCAGCTGCTTGTGACTGCTCACAACAGGAGGCCACGTATCATGTCACCCCGGTGCCACCACTTGCAGCAGGCCACATGACACATTGTGCTGTGGCGTGCATGAGCAACGGTACTGGCACAAGGTGCCATGTGGCGTCCTGCCATGAGTGGAAGCATCAGCGCAGCGTGCCACATGACATACTGCTGTGAATGGCAGAACTGGTGCCATGTGCCACGTGGCCTCCTACATGGCTACCAGCAACCAAAAGAAGTGGGCCAATGGCCATCCAGGCTCCTGATGGACAGGGCTGCTGGTGCCGCTGCCGCAATATGAGGGGTATGTTGAGGCGTAGGAGTCCTGGCTGCAGGGGTCCTGATGTAAGCGGATGCAGGGCACATGAGACAGCTCCACCCCCCACCCCTGCCCTAGCATGATATTTATGCTTGCACCAACCAGATGGTGGGACGGAGTGGGCAGGATCTTAACTAGGGCTTATTTGGGGGAGTAGGGCTTACATTAAGTGCACACGTAAAAATCAAGCTAGGGCTTATTTTCGGGATAGGTCTTATTTTTGGGAAACATGGTAGATGGGTGGTATATAAATTTAATAAACACATAAATCATAACTTAAAAATCTGTCCACAGCTTGGTATTTGTGCATTTAAAGCTATTTCATGCACACCCAGCAAATTAGTCTTTGAAATAAGATTGTAATAATAGGACAGATATAAAATTAGACTTTTAATGTGTTTATCACAAGCATGAACTTAGAAAAATTCAGCACATTTGCAAACCATTCTAACAAATTAGTTCATTGGATCACAAAAAATTGGAACACAAAACTGCACAACACCAATCATTTCTTACATGGGAGACATCTTAAACCATTCAAGAATTGAACCTTTGAACTCAGATCAACAGTTTGATTTGAGATCGGATTAATAATTAGCACATAGTGCATCTCTTTCAACATTGCAACAGGGATATTTCAAAGGAAGTACAGTTGTTTCTGGAACAGATTCAGTTTTCTATGCTAAGTACTTGACCAGCTTCACCTCCATCTTGTCTGTTTATAATCTCAGATTGTTTCAGCCACATTCAAGTTCAGGGATATCATTTGCTTCCTTAGTATTGAATAACAAAAAACTGTAGAGTCTCATTGCTCTATTAATGATTCTGTTTTCCAAAATCTAAAATGACCTATTTTAATTGTTTCATATAGCTAATAAAAAGTGTAGAAAATAAAACAGATATTGTAGTTTCAAATAAGAATTTAACAAACAACATCTTTTGGATATGACCAAACTCAGTATATTACAAAAAATAGCAAAAAAAATATATACCATGATCAATGGTAGTAAAAACATTATTAGTTGAAAGTCTAATCTGAAATGTATTCAGAACAGATGAAAGTCCAGTGCCACCTTTATACATCTAGAGTAGCAATGCTACCAATACTCCATTTTTATATTTTTCTATTCATGTGTTGTCTTGATGGTACTTTTTTTTAACATTGTACCTTGAGATCCAGTATCGAGATCTATAGAATTGGTATTAATTATATCACATATTTACTTTTAACATTTTCTTCCAGCCCATTTGCTTATGTGGATCCCTTACATTGTAACATGGCCTATTTGTACCTTGAACTACTCAAAGACTCCCTCAACGAGTATGCATATGCAGCAGAACTAGCTGACTTGAACTATGCTCTCCAAAATACCATCTATGGGATGTATGTAAGTACCAACATCAAGAAGACTCTTAAGAGTCTTAAATTTACTTCCATGAATCAAGAAATAATTTGATTTGCTGGAAGCATTTTTAAAATGATTTTCCCAATTGAAGATCTAATTTTAAAGTTCCTTTTTCAACCTTGATTTCTAATTTCTCATAATTTGAATTTTACATGAAATATTCTCAGTCTTCAAGATTCATATTCAGATTTTTCATTTCATTTTATATCATTCATTAAAATAATGAAATTAAATGAAATTTAACCCAAATTGGAGTTCAGATTCTACTTCTTTCTTCCAGAAGTTAAATCATTAATCTTAATGAGGAAACAAAATCCTTATTTTACATTAGTATTTCATTCCCAGAAATATTGGTTATGAGGCTGCATATACATACTCTTCAGTCATGTTTCTTCATCCATTATCATGTCACAAAGTATCAAAGCATCCTTTTTTCTTTTTGTTAGTCGCTACCTTTATGTTGACCCTCTCCATTGCAACATGACATACCTGTTAATGAGGTTGTTGAAGGATGATTTAAAAGAGTATACATATGCAGCACGCCTCTCAGGTTTGAGCTATTTCATTGCATCAAGAATGAATGCAATACTTGTAAGTAAGATGGAACAGAAAGAAGTGAGATGGGTTGAGAGCTATGCACTTGGAAAATGCTTGCTTTTTTAGTATGTTTTTGCATAAGTTACCAGTTCTGTGTTCTCTTGCATCTCTCTCTTGTCTGAAAGTGTCTGGACAGAGACACTTCATTTAGCTATGATTGGAGTGCTTTTTGTTACTATATAATGCTTTGTAATACATTTCTTTATGCATCTTTATGTATTTAATATCCTGGAAAGTATTACTTTGACTTTTTTTAGACTATTAGTCTTTTAGATACTTTGCACTAAAAATAAATAAGAGTGTCCTGTGGTGTTAGTCTAATATATTTATTGAGGCATGAACTTTTGCAGGATAGAGTCTACTTTGCTAAACATTGACTGAACTAAATACCACTAACTGCATTATTGGCTGTAGAAAAATTGCTTGAGTATTATAAATTGAGTTTATTTGTTGATATAAATAACAATTTCTTACATGTCATCAGTTCCTGAGATTTTTGGTCAAATATAAAATATCCATTTTGTTTAATATTTTAATTGTCACTTTGAAGAGTTTAACATCATTGTTTGAAAAAAATGTTTCAAAAGAAGTGTGTATTATATGGAGTATAATATGTTGTATAATATGGAGTGTTATAAAATTGAGTTAAAAAATGGGTTCTTGGTGCTCTTTGACTTTGGTTATTTTCTTGCAGACATTTTATTACCAGGCTAGGAAGCAGTACAAAGAAGAATGAAGTATTCTGGCTGTTTGTAACTTGCCCAGGCACTTTTGCTGGGGTGTGAGATTTTTTCTTTGATGGTTTCTTGCATGTTGGTTGCTTGACGCATGTGTTGTAGGCTGTTTGTGTCTATTGAAGGCTGATATGGCTGAATAATTAGCTTCTAAGACTACCTTAATTAAAGAATAATCAAGGTGGAAGCATCCACCACAGGTAGGGCAAGATACAATATACTGTATATAAACAGCCAGCAAACCTACCCTTCATTGGTGATCATCCCTAGCCTGACAATGAAATATCTGCAAGGAAAAAAAAACCTCAGCACCAAAAAACTAATAATTTAACTTTGATCTATAATAGTCTCTTGTGTTGTAACTAAAATGCAATTTAAACTTGAAATGCTGTACCTAGTAAGGCAACCTGCATTCTAAGCTATTTTGCTTCAGTAGTGTTACTGTACCTTATATTTTTGGATCACAGACTGGGATCAACAAAGATAAAATTGGTTCTTAATTCATCTACAATGACATTTTAATTTTTCTTGTATCGTATTCATTTTAAAAAGTTATATTCAGAGACTGGAGCTTTGTTATAGTAAAAGGTGTACTTCAGTTTTTATGCTTAATTATTTCTGTATTACAATATAACTGGATGTCCAACTTATCAGAAGAATGAAACATCCATTCTTCACTTATGTATGCAAACACTTCTTTATTCAGTGTGAGGAATAATGATAATATAGATATTACTAATATAACTTTAAATGACACTGTTAAAACATTTATATGGTTTGCAATTAACCACTTTATGAAGTCTGTAGTTTAGTAATCTGTCATATTCTATGAATTAAATATTCTGATACTCTGCTTTACCTTAATAAGAACGTTGTGAAGTGTTCTATGTTAGCAAACATTGAGTGGAAAGGTTTTTTTCCATATTTTGCTGTAATAATAAGGTCTTAAAGTACTTCTAGTCTTTATTTGAAGGGAAATAGCTAAGTTTGTTTACTCTTTCCTCAGTCATAGTTTTTAAAAAATACTAAATCCAAAAAACTATAAAGAAGTTTTGTTTTTTTCCCCACTAACCAGTTTGGATACCACCACATTAAACTTTGCTATTTAACATGGTACAATATATTTTCCGGCACCTATTGCTTTCATTGGAGATCTTGTCTTTTAATGGATGGAAGGCCTAGCTAAAGTATACAACCACTTACATATTCTCTTTGTATAGCTTTCTGTAAAAGGTTATAATGACAAGCAACATATTCTGCTGAAGAAGATTATTGAGAAAATGGCTACCTTTGAGATTGATGAAAAGCGATTTGAAATTATCAAGGAGGCGGTAAGCCATCTGAAAAGTTTGATCCTATTAGAATGGGAAACATCCTATCTGTAAAAAAAGGAAAGTCGTTAAACATGAATTGTTCTATTTCTGTACCATATAAATGAATATTTGCAGAAGAGGACAGGATGGTGGGCACAATGCATAGCTCTAAAACTTAAGTTAAAATCCTGTACACTTAATAGGGAATGATCTTTACTAATCAGTGACTTATTTCTGAGTTGATAATATAAACTGTGATCCTTAAGCCTTCAGTTTGCAAAAGGCTAGGAATCCATGGTGTGAATAAATGGAATAAAAGGAATCATTCCTTTTATTAGAGATAGATTTTTCACTCATGGCAGTGTCTTCCTGATTCCCCAGCCATATCCGTTTAACCATTGAAAATGTTCTGTGATGCTTTTTTGTTTTTACTCTGATTCAAAGAGTGGGGAAAGACTGGAAAATAATGTATTCGTTTGCTATTCCCCAGACTCCAGCCTATGCAAGTACTTGCTTACAATTATTGAGCCCCAGTATTAAATGCAATCTTTGTGCAATTTTAAGGCTGTTTTATTAACCAATCTCACTTCCTGATTTCAGGTCTTGACAAAGAGGAAGCCTTATTTCCTTCTATATTTTATTTGAATGCTTATTTTAAGTATAAAATTGATTAAATCAGTGAGGTTTCTTGAAAAGCTACATTATTTTGCCTTGGCTTTTGTTTTACTTCAATAGTATATGCGATCACTCAACAACTTTCGAGCTGAACAGCCACATGAGCATGCAATGTATTACCTTCAGCTCTTAATGACAGAAGTTGCCTGGACCAAAAATGAATTAAAAGAAGCTTTAGATGGTAAGTTTTTGCCAAATCTAAATTGCATGTTTTCTATGTTCCTTGGTATGTTAATTTGGTTTACTTTAAAGGAAATATGTCCAAAGATTCCATGGATTGTTGTGAGGAGCAACAATTATTGTGATTGTTGTGAGGAAGTTGAAACAAATATGGAGAAATTTCTGTTTTTCCATGACTGTGACAGTAAATGTATAGAAATCAATTTATGAATTTCAGCAAACAATAAAGCTTTAAAATTAATTTTGGACATTGGTGTCCATTTGTTTTTTAACTATTATTTAAATACAGTTTTTCTTTACAATTCAGATTGAGTATAGCTGTCGTCTTACTATGTATAGGAAAAAAGTATAGAATCTACATGATAAATGATTTACAAAATGTGACAATCTTTTTTTGCTATCTCATCCCATATTCATCTTAGAATTAGAAGCTTCGTGAGTTAGAGTTTTATGATGAAGAAAGACAGGATTTCCTTACTAAAAGAGTTGATTCCTTTCTTACCTCTACCTAGCTTGTGTTTGGTTTTGGTTTCCTATCTTTCACACTATGCTTGTCTATAACAGTAGGAAGTTGGTTAATCTGGACTACGTCTATAGTTCTTTTCATGTTTATTGATGGCTAATTACTTCAGGTAAATTGTAGTTAGAAGTCAAACAAAACAGGTTCTATCAAAACGTGTGAAATGATTGAATTTAGAATGCATATCCCACTGAATGCATTGCAGTATAGTAAATAGCATCTAGATAGAAATATATATAATTGATTCCACAGTCAGCCAGATGTTTAGACTGGATTTGGCATTTTTGTCCACTTACTGAGTCCTTCCCAGGGATCTGGGATAGGAAGATGCTGTTTAATAATATTAAAGATATGGTCTCAGGATGTAAGCTGTTCTAAGTAAAGCTGCCTTTTGCAATTGTATAATGGAGATTTTGTCAATGCTGATTGCGTTCAAGTGGTACTCTAGTTATTTTAGAATTGCACCATAGGCATATATTAGTATTATTATTACTATTGTAGTCTTGTCTTTGTTTGGTACCACTCAAGGCAGCATACATAATACTCTGGCCTTCTATTTTCCCCACAACAACCTAGTCTGATGAGTTGGGCTGAATGAGAATGACAGGGACCTAAAGTCAACCAGATGACCTTCATGCTTGAGGAAGCAAGAACCCAGGATCTCTAGATTCCCAGTCTAATACTTTAACCTCTACACCAAATGTTTGTCTGCATCTGTCTGAAAGAAAGATAGATGCAAAGGTGTGTAGGTGTATACCTATGTAGGCATGAATGTGCCAGAATTAAAGGTAATAGCTGTAACATGGCGTTCTTCAGTTTCGTGCCTTATAGACACATTAGACCACCATTATGATAATTCTCAATGCTGGAATTTGATATCCAACATAAATGAGAATACATTGAGGTTTGGAAAGATACTTGTAGCATACACATGTGTGCTAAAATATAATATCAGAATAACCACAATTTTAAATCATTGTTACAAAGATGTCAGGGCAGTTACGTACCTTTCAAGAGTGCTGATGTCAATGCTGTAACATTGGATGTTCCTGCTCTGACAACTGATGGAAATTGCAGCCATTTTTACTTTGCTTTTAACATGCTTTTTCTTCTGTTTAGAAATTAAATGTTGAAGGGGGGATGGGGTGAATGCTTGAGCTCAGCCATAATAAGAATGAAGCTCGGCTTTCTGTGGTGCTGCGCTGTGCCGATGGCAGCTACTTTGGAGCCGTCCGTCTGAGACAGTGTAAAAACTGCGGATGACAGCAGACATCAGCTGTCCCACAGTTTGAAACTTCTTTCCCGAGCAAAGGGAAAGAGGGGAGTTTTTTTCCTTGGATAGTGGTAGAGCCCTCAAGACCTCAAAGATTTTGGGGGGGGGGTTGAAGGGTGAGCTTCCACGGAGTCCGAGGCATTCTCCACTTCTCAGACGTCTTTGTCCCTTTTTGTTTTTTGGGAGAAAGCAAGACGCCGCTTCCACATCCGCAATTAAAGTGAACTGGTGAGTTGATTTTGAAGCGGACAGAGCTGATCAGGGGAATTTATGTGTTAATTTTGGACTTTAACTCTGGAGAAGAACAATCTTTTCCCTTTATTTTAAGGGAAAGTAAAATGGCGATGAGAGGTTTCTCTTTCTCATGCGCATAAAAGGAAAGTGAGGAAAGGATTTTCACTTTTTCATTTTTTATTTTTATTTTTTTTGTTTTCTTATAAAGTTTTAGCAACTTTCGGGATTCTGTGTGTTTGCATGAGAAGGATAAATATTTTTTTTTCTTTTTATAAATAGAAGAGGGTTTTTCTTTTCCCTCTTTTTTTTTTTTTTTGGTCTTTTGGATTTTTCAAGAAGGACAAAAACTTTTTAAAATGGCTTCGAAGCATCAAGCAATCTCTGCTGTGCCTAAGGTGGCTTCTTCTCCGGCAATACTGACAGCTCAACAACGTAAACCTAGATCACCACCACCCTCTCCGCCTGTACCACCGCTTACGGTAAAAGATATTCAAGATGTTATGGGCAATGTTGTGTGCCAAATTAGAGAAGAAGTGAAGGAACTTTTAGAAGAGAGAAATAAAGTTATGAGGGAGGATATAGTACAGGCTTTGCAAGGACTTGCCTCTGTTGTTGAAAAGCTGGACTATCGTATTGATGATGTTGCAGATAAAGTGGATTTATTGGAAGATCGTGTTGAAAGTGTGGAAAAAATGGTGGAGATTTCACAGGATGAAATTGTTATGTCTCAGTATAGAGAAATGGAATTCGCTTTAAGAATCAGAGGTTTAAAGGAAAATATGCAAGAAAATTTGAGGGAGGTGGTGGCAAATGATACTGCTGTGATATTGGAGAGGGAACCTGAGGAGATATTGAGAGAAATAGAAAAAATGTTCAGAGTTAACTCGTGGATTGCAAAGCAGAGAAATTTACCAAGAGATGTGGTGATTTATTTTGGAAAAAGATCCTTACGTAATGAAATTATACAAGCATTTTACAATCAGAGATTTCAGATTGCTGTTCAGGATGTTATAATTCTAAAGGAGATTCCATCAAAAATGTTAAGAAGAAGAAAAGACTTTGCTTCTCCAGCAGGATGGCTGTAGAATCCACCAGATGGGTTCATGACAGCCTTTCTGCCCGACAGACTAGGTCAAAACTTTGGCCACACCCCTCCTTTGGGCGTGATTCCAGTTTTGACTTAATCTCGAAGCCCGTTGACAGCAAAAAATTTGAGCTCCTGAGATAGCAAAGATTTTAGAGACAAAATCCTCCTCTCTCTGACTATAGTGGCAACTTGGTCAGCTGAATTTGAAAGAAATCGATCCCGGCTTGTGGCTCGGTGCTCCGAGCTGTCCGTCAGATCTACATTCCCCTGAGGGCGCTAAGCGGTGTGGTGAGAGTATCCCAACCGATTTCCCAGTAACCGGCCTTTTTTCTTCAGTTAACAAGCCCTTAGTTTGGCGAGCAGCAGCGGAGCTCCTTTCCGCCCAGCTGGGACGCGCAAGGCTCCGCGGTCCGGAATGACCGTCAGAGCCGCAAATCACCTTGCAGCAGTTAGGGAGGCAGAGAGGCTGTCGGATAGTAACAGAGGCTGTCCTTTTCCCTCAGCTGAAACGCTAAAGCCCCCGCGACCCCCCGAAACGACTGGGAGAACTGCAGAGCCCTGGGCAACCGAATAAGGAGATACGCGATTTATCTGCTCACTCCTGATTACCTCAGCTGGCAAAGAATCTGTTAGGGCTGTAATCGCCATTTTGAGCCTCGTGGCCTTTTTGACAGTTGACAGTTAGAGGGCGTGGCCTTCAGCCTCAGCGCCATCTTGGGTGTACTCACTGTAGTCCTCCATTTTAGGTGGGTCATCCACCCGGAGGTTTCCCAACAGTTCCAAAATAATAATAATAATAATATAAAAACAGAAATAAAAAGGAGAGAGGAGAAAAGAGAGAGAGAGATATTACAATTTTACACCCTTGGGTCTGTTTTAACAGCCCACATATTGGGGGAAAATACAATACTCCAACCAATTACCTTTTAATAAGCCTGTGGTCATTATCATCCATTGGCCTTGGTGGAGAAGAGTGAGGGAAGTCTAAACTAATTCCAGCTGTTCCCTAGTGTGACCTTTGTCACCGGCTTAACAGGATCTTTCCTCTTCGGTAAAGAGCCTATCTGTCCGGCCATTGTTTTGTGTGCAGAGCGAGGCTTGCAAACCTCAAATATCTGCTATTGATCTGCGTGTCCTGTTTCCCCCATTCCAGGTATTGCCTACTCGGGGTACCTGGCCACAATGGCAGACAGTGTCTCACATTCAGCTATACAGGGTCCCAAACTGCCCCCCCTCAACAACAACAAAAGCGCAGATCTACAGAATCTGGAGTGGGGGGGGAAAGAAGGCCAAAACAAAACATATTTCCCAGAAGGGACCCACCAAAACAGCTGAGCGAGAGGCCTTGAGGAGACATTTGGCGCTTGAAAGACAATTCTCCAGGGCCCAGAGAATCAGATCCAATGAGGCTGACATGGTTTCCCCTGCCCTATTGGAGGCCCCTATACCAGAACCTACTTCCCAGGAAGTCCTCAGAACTTGGTCTCCTCTGGGGGAAACCGAACAGATGGATTCCCCTCACTCTTCATCACCAGCATCCTCACCAGACCATACTCCCCCTGTGCCTGCATCTAACAACAGAGCTCAGGAGGACATATGGTCTGCCCAATTTCAAGCATTCATACAAGATGCTTTCTCCCAATTTATGTCTTCTAAAGGTCAAATAGCCTTTCAACTCCCATCCCTTAAAGGGCGGAACAAGGCTCCTGCTACAAATATATCTGAGACCTCCTCTCAAATAGGAGAGGTGGAATCAATAGACCTGGACATGACTGACATGCCCCTTTCGGAGGACGAAGGGACCACTCCTGAGCAGACAACAAACTCTGGCCTCTTTGACCCAGCTCTTCTTAAATTCCTGTTGATCAAGGCAGTTTCCACTGTCAA